GAGATTTTCTATTTAAACCCCGCACTTCTCTTTGTTCACCCCAATACTTAAATCATTAAGCTGTAAGTTTTATTATTGTGTAAAAAGACAAAAAAGGTCATCGAACTTAATAACTAACCCTAGTACACACACCCACACACTCCACCACTCTTCATATTAAGTTTTAGAAACCTCATTCCAACTTCCTGTTTACAAACTCTCTCTCTCTCTCTCTCTCTCTCTCTCTCAAGTTCTCAACTCAACAATACCCAAGTGTTAGAATTCCAGTTACAATCCTTGAAGAGAGGTAAATCTGTTCTCTTCCTCTAGATATTAAATTTCGGATTTAGGGTTTCATTTGTTTGTGTTTTTTTTGGTTGGGAACAAAGAAAATTGTGGGGTTTAAATAGAAAATCTCTTTTAATTCTTATTTTTTCAGTTTGGGGTGTATTTAAGGGTAGGTTGGGAAGATAGTGGGGTTTTCTTAGAAATTGTGAAAATTTAAATTAAAAATTGGGGTGAACTTAGAACATGAGGTGAACTAAGAGAAGTGTGGGGTTTAAATAGAAAATCTCTTTAAGTTTATTCATAAATCAATGTTTGGCTGGCTGGCTTTGGCTGGCTTTGTACCAGCCCAACTGCTGTGTATTGATGGTTCAACATTGACTAGCCTAACCTTGGGCCCAGACAGGAAATAATAATAATCAGTGTGTATTGATGGTCTTAGTTCTGAGCGTAGGGAGAGCCATCGCTTTTTAATAAAGAATTATTTGGTATAACAGTCAAATAGTCACGTGATGTTATAATTTTAATATATTATAACACGTGGTTAGTTATTAATATGTTGACTTCAGAAAATTGTCGCGTAATTAGAATCACATCTTATAACTCAAATCATTTTATCCTCTAATATATCTTTCATCGATGTTATAACACGTGTAATGATTTTGCAGTCACTCCCAAGGTTTTCCTATTTTTTTATGAGTTTTAATTCAATGTTTGTGAGTTGGATCAATATGGACTCCCACTCAAGCATAGTTTCATGGACAAAGACGTTTCCCAAAATGATAAAGTTTTGCCCAACATTTTTGGAGTCAACGTCATCCCTACACATAGGACAAACTGACTTTTAAGAAAGAAGCCAATGATACGATTGAACTTTGGTAATGAACTTCATTGTCATTTCATCTACCATTTAGCAAGCACAATTTGGGCCCCGTCCCAAAGAAATGTGGCTGATAATAGTTGCAATAATTCAAGGAGTCTCAAAATCAAATCAAATCCTTGGAGGAGCTTTGTTGAGTGCCATATCTCAAAGACACATGCAATGCGAGTAGAATCTGAGATGAGAAATTCTTCAATCATTGATTATAGATAGAAAACACACATGATCCCCATGACCACTTAAGAAAAGAGAATAATCATCTTGTTGTTCGTCGACACCCGAAAGGTCACATCTCCCTTTGATGTCTTTATTTTTTTTATTTAATTTTTAATACAAGTGATAGTTTAAACTACAAGTGGATGGGGGAGAAACTCACATACACTACCAACCAAGGTGTCATCGGCGTTTGAACCTGAGACCACTATAGTTTGCAAGTTAAGACCATTTTTTACTAGGTTAGACTCTGTTGGCATCTCTCTTTGAAGTTTGATACAGAAAATTTGGTCATATCCCACATATTCCAATGAACATGCTCCATTTAGCTTATAGAGTCAAAGACTTGAGTCCTTTTCCATTGTGCTAGACCCCGTTGGCATAAATTTTGAATTCTCACTCACCGCTAAAACAACATAAATTTTGGACTGCTAGATGGCCAAAATGGCCCATGGTCCCTAGTTCCTCCGCACTAGAACAACATAAATTTTGAACGGCTAGATGGCCAAAATGGTGGATAGCCCTTTGCCCCACCCCTAGACATGCTCTTAGGTAGTTTTGTTTATTTATTTATTTTATAGGGAATGAATTGCCATATGAGCTTTGAAACTGATGTTGAGGTTGTGTTTCCCTCTTTTCGACTGGGTAGGCCGATTGAAGGAGTTTTTGGTCCTTCTTTAATTGAATGCGGGGCGTGCCACCACCAAGCCACGAATTATACTTGAATGGAATGTAAGTAGATGATGTGTCTGAAATCTAACTTTAATCAAACGATTGTTCGGCCGAGTAAGAAACCTACTCACGGCCTAAGTTCTTTCACTACCTCAGAGTCAAGGCTTTATGTGAACAACCAAATGATGTGGAGTGAGTGGAGATGAAAATTGAAAGTGGAATGCAATGAAAAAAAGAACACGTGCGTAAAGTAAAAAGTGCTTGAATTTAAATATAATTAAAAGACAAGTGCGAAAAGTAAAGTACATAAAATAAATAATTTAAAGACGAGTGCGTAATTTAAAGTGCATAAAATAAAGAATGTAAAGAAAGTGTGTAATGTAAATTGCATAAATTAAAGAATATAAAGACGAGTGCTTAATGTAAATTGCATAAATTAAATAATTGAAATGCGAGTGCGTAAAGTAAAGGGCGGAAAGTAAACTAGATTACGAAGAACAGTAAAGATAATGTGAATTGAAATTATAACAAGAATAAGAATGTAAATGCATAATTGAAATCTACGGAAACTAGAGCAGAAAAAATAAAAACTAAGCTATGGCTACATTATGCTACTCCTAGGATAGAAATTGAAGAGAATGTAAAATGACAAGTTGTGTGTTCTGTCGGGGGTCCTTTCTCTCTTCCATAAGCTTGGTATTTATAGGGGCTTTGGTGCGTCTCAATTTGGTCGGTCGTCAATTATAATTGCTCCACAATATCTTCAATCTCTTGTCTCATGCGTGTGATTTAATGTGAATAATAATATTTGATTTGATTTTCCTTCCATCTCGAGCTCTCCCAACAATAACATTAGTTGACCATCAAGCTGGCATAATTCCTTCAATATTTGAATTGTAACCTATGAGAAAATCCTTCTATAGATTATCTCTCTCCTTAATTAAGCATTGACTGATTTTATGCTCTCGGCTGCATATAGGCTTTCGACCATATCTACACTTTCGGCCGCATACAGGCTTTCGACCACTTTTATGCTCTCAACCATATTGATGTGTTCAGCCAGATTGGTGTATTCCACCATATGCAGATATTCTGCTACATTTATGATTTTAGGCTTCTATCCAGCCTTATTGATTAGGCCCACCGAAATATAGCTTGCGCTCACTATTAGTTTAATTGTCGGATCTCGGGCTTGACCCGATCAAATTTCAACCATGCCCAAACAGGTTGCGTGTTTTCAAGGATTGGAAGGGCATTTTAGTCTCTTCAAATTAAAAGTTGGTTTTTTTGTTGTTGGAGAAATTAAGATTGCATTCATAATTCAACCAAAAAAGTCACTAGTCACAAATGGTCATTACAATAACGGAGCGATCTAACATCAAAATTCAGACAATCTAGAACTCCTCCACTAATGATCACACATGATCGAAGAAATTCTGGTATAGGCATCCCAACTAAGAGAGCAAACTCAAAATAACCAAAAATAGATAAAGCTTGAAAAAAACCAAGTCATAACAATATAAATAAAATTCTCACAAAGGCGAGGTAGAAACCTCTCACAAAGAATAGGTGGAAACCTTTTACAAATGAGAGGTGAAAAACTCTCACAAAAGGATAGGTGAGAACT